AGCTGTGTCAAATTTCCTTTTCCTTACAATGCTAGGCCTCTTTGATTTGGGAGTAACTGCAACAACATTTTGAAGAAATTTTTAGACAATGTCTCCCTTGTAAATCTATCAAATTACTATCAAGCATTCATAAATGATATTTTGTTTTTACAAGGTGCACAAGTATTCACCAGACTGAAATTAGGGCCATGCATAGATGCATGTTCAGTAATAAAAATGAATAGGAAATGAGCTAAATTGAAGTCAACACTAAGTTACAAAACAATTAAAGAAAATTCTCACAAGTGATTAGAAGACTAGTATACTTGGGTGACTTTACAATTTTCTGAAAGGGGCTAAATTGTGTATGGCTCTGCTAACAACATTCTCATTATGCACACAGCTTCACTGCTTGAGTATACTCATTTAGTGTCCACCACAAAAAAGCTCTTGACTATGTCCAGGGAGAAACTGTCAAAACCAGAATGAACATGTTCACAAAATGAGCCACCAGTCAGTAGAAAAGAAATTGTTAATTGGTGGTTTGATTTGCTTGCAGTTAATTCCATTGCTTAGTTATTGTAAGTATTATGGATCTAAATCTACAACACATCCCAATTTGACTAATGTCCAGGTTTTTTTCATCTCTTTACATTTGTCTTTTTTTGGGAAGGATATCTAGTTAAAGAGCAAATCAGGCAGATTACACCATCCAAAATTTCCTGTAACTCTGACTATATAAATTGACTATATAAATAAACACCCTGAAAAATAATGTGAGATATTAAAAAAAAAAGGTAGCATGAATTCCCCAAATGCTTTGTGATAGATACTGGCAAGTTGTCCTGGTTGTGTTATCAGGCGATTTACTGCACTTCCCAAATCACATTCCAGTGTCAAGCATTTGAACACAGGCTCATCAATGTACTGCTCTTGCATCAAGTATCTTACAGAATCTAGGAGAAATTTCTAAATTTAGTTATAACACTTAACTGCAACGGACAACTTTTACCATAAGTCAATACTCAGAAAAATAACATACTACATTCTAGTGTAACAAAGAATTAAAAAAATTGGATCAAATTTATTATTGGAAACAGTTCAATTGGTTCAATCTTTTAGTTGTCAATTAGGAAACTCACAGTTGAGTTACCTTTTATAAAAAAAGCTATAATTTAATTTATATTGGTTTCTGCTACAGTATTAATTTGCATCTCCAGCTATATAACATTCAAAAAACAGAGAAGCCTTTGAGCCGATTATTAGAAGGGGCAATTGAGTTATACCTACATGTACAGGACTTTGTACACTGTTGTTGTTTTAGGTAAGCAGTTTTCCCATCATTTACTAGTCTCCATTAACCCATGTAAGTTAAGGGAATTACTAGAGGGGATGGAAGATCACTGACCTGATTTAATTTCTTCTTAAGTTTCAGTGACATAGCTCCATCAGGAGCATTACAGGTACATTAAACAATGGATTTTTAATCAATCTCTTTTTCTTGAGATTCCTTTATTTTTAACAATATTTAAATTTCTTAAGGGCCTCAGTTCTGAAAGCAGTGGTCAAGGAGGCTGGCTCTGTCTCCATGAACTCATCTAATTGGTTTCAATCTGTCATGATAATGAATAAGGGAAGGCTCGTTAGGCCAGTAACCTTAGTGATATAAGTAACCAAGGAGAAAGGGACAGGTTTACCTGACAGGGGTCCAGAGGAAATAAACATAATGGGTGTGTGCTCATTACATGCCTTTGGTGATCTGTTGAAACAAAACAGGGTTCATCAAAGAAGCCATAGAGGCTATAACTGTCTAAGGGAGAGAGAATGTTAATTTAGTTTTGAGAAAGCAAGTAACATGAAATACATAGTGACAAACTTTGGAACATCAAGAGAGATGAAATACTACAATGTTCAGAAATATTTTAGGGCTTTAAAGCCTTAAAGGGCAGTGCAAATTAGCCTCTATATTATCACTAATTGTTTACAGTCCACTATAGGAAATGGTTGAATGATGGCATTCCATAACGTATTTACCTTGCACTGTTTGAGTGATTTCTGCATTTTTCCACCAAATTCGCCTCGTTGAAGGCTGTTCAGTGAAGATGGCTCAAATTCTTGCGGCAATGCTTCACAAGCTGGGGAAGATCTTGCTAGGTGTAAACTAAGTCACTGAATCTCTCCTCGTCCTCAAGAACGTCGCTCCGTCACTGCCGCAAGCCACTTATTTGTCAGGTATGTGTTCCAAATTGTGTTCAAGTGCTTGTATAATTTTTTTTGGAATGAAACACTTTTTTTCCAGTTCTTCTTTGAAGTTTTCTTTGACTCCTTTTTTTGGAAGTTTTTATACCTAACTTTTTTAAGTCAAAATTTAGCGAAAATTTAAGAACTCCCATTCCATTGTTTCAGTCTGAATGTTTGCACGCTCTTCTGCAAACATAAATCCTTTAAACCCAAGAGTGACCAGTTTCTAATTTCTCCATACAATATCATCCCTGAATCACACATCAAGGTCAGGAGAATAAAGGAAATGATCACCAACTAAAGAAGCTCCTGATTGTTATACAAATTCTCCCTGCCAGCACCACAGGAAATTTATCGAGACAATAAGCAATTAAGCAATTTCATAGCAACGGCGTAACGCCAGTTAACCTCCAATAAAGAAGTTTCGTACTTGGTCTTTCAGTCGTAAAACCTATTTCCAGTTTATCCACGGTAACATTATTTATTATTAAAAGATTATAGTGTAGTGTTTTGCAAGGATCTCCAGCCCTTCTGTCTGCCGACTTATGCCTCTATCTCGCGTTCAGACTTATATTTCATCAGACAACCGTCGGAATCTGTTTGGTGTATTGGACATGTCTGGTTTTTTAACTGATAATTTATTCGAGAGAAAATTTTTCTGGAGACTAGTTTAAGTACTAACTACCTATAACCGGAAAAAAAAATTACTAAAGGACTAATTCCAGTTATTTGTACCTAGGGCGGAATGGAAGATTTTTGAAACTCCACGGGGAAAGTCAGAAGCGACACTGAGCCGGGAATTAAGACTGACACTTGGAGACCACAGAGCACGATCTTCCTTTAAAATTTAAGGAGAGACAAAAAAGCTTGTTGATGGAATCTTTATAATCTACAGTGGAGCCTCGATTTAACGAAGTGCCAAGGGACTGGGGAAATTGGTTCGTTATATCGAGGGTTCGTTACATCGAGGTTCTGTGGTATGCATTTTACTGTAGCTTTAGGCGGGCTGAAACTGAAGTATCGTTCGTTATACCGAGGACTTCGTTCTATAGAGATTCGTTAAATCGTACTCGTATACTCGTACTGTACTCGTACTCCTACTATCGTTTCTCTGTTTGAACCTCTGTTGAGACAACTTAAGTTAGATTGTGTGACAAGTTAGTAAGATAAGTGATTGCGTGGTGACAACTTTTCGCTTGTGGTTTCAGTGTCGGTAATGGGATCAATTAACCGGTCCATTTGTTAGCTGATATCGTTATCTAGGGTGTGCCGCACGTACTGATAAGATAAAACCTGCCAAGATTTTTTGGTTGATTTTTCTATCGAGAAGGATAGAGACGTGATCTGTGGGTATAGTAACTAAGTGAAGAATAAAACCGTGAGGTTTGCGAAGAACAGCCTGGTGTTTTTTGGCGTTCGCAATACCTCAGCCTATCTTTTGGAGGTTCACTTCCCGTATGGTCGGTTGATCATTCCACTGACAAATCTGATTCAAATCGTTTTGAACAGTCCTTCAACAACTAAAATGTTTTCTAAGCTACCTTTCAGCTATGGGATTGTGTTTAAATTATTGACCTCCAGGATGGTTCAATTATTATATAGCAAAAAAATATTAAAAAAACTGAGAGATGAAATATTACTAACTTTTTTTTAATTAGACACTAAATGGCTCGACAATAACTTAAAGAACATTCAACACTTCTAAAAACATCCTCACTTGGGTTATACTTTTGTAATACTTTTTCCTTTCATTTTGTTCAAGCTCCTACAAAATTAACTTAAGTCATACATTAACAACAAAGCTGAGTAAATAAATGAGGCAGATGAACATGCATTATCTGACCTGTGCACTTAATACATCAGTGCGGTGGGGTAAATATGATTAGTGGCTTAGCATTGTGATAACAAAGAAACCACCTTGTAAATAATACACTAGGACTTAAGTAAATAAATAATAAGTAATAAATGCAACTGGATGCTGAGTTAATAGTTGTCATGTTTGTAGGTACTTGTAAACTTAAATTTGGAATAAGATAAGTTACGGAAACTTCTGACAACACGGGCGGCGCAATATAACCGTAGGCATGCTTTCATGAGATCTTATTCCGCATACCAAATTCCCTCCCTTTCGGACAACCTAGATGATCAAACGGTTCCCAACAAACATAACGAGTGCGAGTTAGTTACTTTGATTCTTTTTTTCGATCATTTTTTCTGAAAATGTTCTTGGTTAAGTAAATGTACTATTTCCATGACACAACAGTATGTAATCTTTCTACTTCTATTGCAATAATTAGAACTAAAAGGACTTGATAAGTCAGTGCTACCCGTTACAAACGTGTGTCCAGCACCATATCATCTTCTTCGTCTTGCTCTGTTGAATGAAAAGTAACTAATTATCAAGACACTTCAGTTACGCATTGTTACCTTTAAAAAAAAAAAAATTAACAAGAAGTTTTGAAATAACGAAGAAGTTTTCCCCCACCCAACGTGATGAACGAAACATTAATTCCCCAAAACTTTAGATATTAGCGGAAACGGAAGCCGGGTAAAACATACCTTCGTCCATAATCTGCTGGTGTCGTGGTGATTCATCTTCCATAGACTCTTCACCCCGATGTTGGGAGTCCTCGTTATTTCGTTTTGACTGCTGTTTTTTGTCCTGCAGTTGAACTTGGTTTGCTTCCTCATACACTCCTCTTGGTTTCTCTTGTTCAATTTCTACCTGTTTTGGACCTTTGTGGTCTTTTTCTCGGCCTCCTTGATCAGAATCAACTTGCTGATTTTCGGTTTCTTCATGTTTCAGCTCTTGCTCTTGTTCATCTGGCTCATTTCCTTCTTGTTGCTGTTCACTTTCTTTTTGAATTCTTTTCGACTTCTCTTTTTTAGCACCACGCTCTAGCCCATGGTCGAATTTCTGTTCTTTTTCCTCTTCTTCTTGAGTACGCTGCTGTTTGGATTCCTGGCCATCCCCTTCTGGCCTTTCTTCAGCAGTTTCATCTTGCTCACGCTCAGGATTTTCATGGTCTTTGTTCAGCTCATGGTCTTCTGGCTGCTGTTCACTTACTTCTTCGTGTCCCTTTGAATGACCAGGTCCAACTTCCAGCTTTGTGATGGGTTCTTCGGGATCATCGTTTGGTGCTTCGTCTCGTTTAGATTCAACTTGCTCCTGTTCACTGGTTTCGTTTTGGCCTTGTTTTTGTTCTTCGTGTTGTCGTTCAACTTGCTGCTGCTCAGTATGTTCGTCTTGGCCTTGTTTTGGTTCTTTGTCTCGTTCAGGTTCAACTTGTTGCAGTTCAGTAAGTTCGTCTTGGGCTTGTTTTGGTTCTTCGTCTTTTTCAGGCTCAACTTGCTGCAGTTCATTGGGTTCCTCGTTGTCTTCGCCTGATCCTGCCCGTTGTTCCCTCTCTATCTGCTCTTCTTGCAACTCGTCCTCACTATCATCAACGCTCCCCACTTCTTCTTGATTTTGTACTGTGTTCGAGAAAGAAAACACAAAAAGGGAATAAGATTACAAAGTGCTCCCTCTCGTGGCTTTCGCTCGCTAGATCGCCAGATTTGTTGAATAAGCGACGTTGTGCGTTTTGCATTTGGTAACCGTATCGTGTAACTTCTCTTTTATTAGTCATTTGCGCTCTGCTTCTGCCATTTCCGAATATCTCATGGTCACACATTTTTTAGGTAGGTCTCAATGAGAAATATCTCACTGCATACTTCGTTTGGCTGAATATCGACTTATTTTCGAGACTGATCGATAATAACTGAGTTCCATCAAAATGCCGTTTTTGAAGCTCAAAATTTCAGACGAACCTAGGAGAGTCGCGCCACGAATAGAAAACAGTCACTTGAATCAATGAAAAGTACCAAATTTTGAAAAGCAACATCAAAACATAGGTTGACAGCAATTTGAGCAATTCTTGACTGTTTATTTACACAATCTGATTGAATTTATCCGATCATCTTCCAGCTTGATCAAAAATAGGTCAGAAGTAACCCGTTATTGAACTATGTGATAAATAAAATAATCGACTAAGAATCTGGCTTGGAAGGCGAAGTGTATTTCTGTTCGATCTCTGAAGGGATTTTTGGGGATGACTCAGCGCGATTTGATAAAATCTTTCAGCTGGATGGAATGCGCTGATTTGACGGTGCCATCAGTTAGCAGAAAATGTACACATCTACACGCAAACATGGTGATTTCGCATTTTACATCGAAACTACAGCTTTTCCAACAGAAAATCTACTTACCCTCCATGTTGATGTATCCCAATAGAGGATTGTAGTCCTGAAAATGTTGCATCGATCACTCTCAAAGTAGCGATATAACTTGGAAGGATAGTCAACACCTCCTGGTGATGATTGTTTGAAAGAACTACACTTTACCTTCCAAAAGCCAGATTTTCAGTCGATTATTCTGTTTATGGAGTTTTCGTATAATAATTTTATTAATTATATTTTTTTGGAAATAATCTTGAATTTTTATTAAACGAAGTCAGCGGTGTATCCATGAGCTCTTCATAATTTTTTCTAGACATTTGGCTATTTTTTCCATTTTTAAGCATTTTTTCACGATTTCTGTTAATACTTTTTAGTGGTTATAGTGCGTAAAAGTCTTTCTTTTCTATGATACATGTAACTTAATAAAAAATGATGATAAGTAGAAATGCTAACAAAAACTAGATTGTGCATACAAACAATGAAGAACCTAAATTTCAATGTTGTTTTTCAAGATTTGGTAGTTGTTATCGGTCCAAGTGTTTTAAATTGGTGGCGCGAGGTTCGTCTCAGATTTTGAGCTTTTAAAGCGGCATTTTGGCGGAATTCAGTTATTACTGATTTTCTCGAAAATAAATCGATATTCACCTAAACGAAGAACGAAGTATGCATTGGTTTGTTTTAATGTAAGGCCCACCTGACTTGAAAAAGTGAGCCGAAACGATTTTTTGGCTGTTGCCATAATTATCTCGAAACTGTTCGATTTTTGGCCACCATATATTTTCTCTTAAAGGATTAACACACAAGTCAACACTCTGGCCATAATAGCAATTTACAATGCAAGCTCGGAGAAATTAATCACAGGAGTAGTGAGATTGTTTTGAAATAAAGGGCCACAAGCATAAAAGATAATCAGAAGCAAGCAAGCTTATCAACTAGAATCTTTGGCTCATACCAAGGTCTTTACAATACTAGCAGACAAGATAAGGATGTAATCGTGGCTCACCACTATGTAATACAACGACAACTTCAAACTTAAAAGGAGTGAGGAGAAAAATGACTCATTAGATTCACCCCAAATATCAATACGTATAAACCTAGATAAATAAGGAATAAAACCTCCTCTTATGAGGCCGATCTGTTGAAAGCCTACAGAAAAAAAAACGGCGTACGTTTTGGTTTGTTTTAACACGCGCGGAAGTCAATATGGCGGTCAGCCGCTTTCGTCCCAATTGTATTTGGTGAAATTACAAACAAACATTTTCACAAGACAGTACATTGTTAAACTCACAATACAAATAACAGCTTGTACACTCACGGAAAATTAGTCAATAATAACGCACTAGGACCCTTTAATGGAATTTCTTTGTTAGCTCTTGGTACTGTTCTCAAGCTCTACTGAGCAAACTTAGCGAAGCGCCTCCAGTGTTGCTATGTGACGTCATATAGGCAGTAATCATTTGACGGCGGCTTAAACCAGAGGACAATAGAACCACCCCCTCCCACCTAGGTGATGTAGATAATTACACACAATATCATTATAAATTCACACTTTATTTACCAGGTGTACTGTAAAGAATTGTACCTTGTGTAGAGTAAAGGCTGACATAGTGTACTTCAAGGATGTGTCCCAACACAAGTGTCCTGCCATTGTAAACAGGACATTGCGGCCGTAAGATAACATCGTGAGAAGCGTTAAGACTGCTGACCACACGAATGCAAGTTTTGTAGCAGTTTGCTGCGGCACATAGAATAACATGGTCACCCCATGCGCCATCTTGCTCCATATACATTAAGTAATCAGCCCATGATTGATGTCCATGGACGAAGTGAAACAGATTTGTTCCATTCGGCTGTGAGAAGAAAAAAATAGAGAACGAAACTTGGACTGTAAAGTTAATGGTACGCTGGACCAGGTTGAGTAGGTTGGAAGGAGTCATTGAATGAAAAAATAACAAAAAGATACAAGGAGACACAAGGATCTGCATAATAACAGAGATACCAAACAACAGTAAGAACGGATAGTAACCAATCAGAGTAACGAATACAAGGATCCGCTTTGGATGTAGCAGTCTCAACTCCTGAATTTGCCCTTCTGAAACATCGAATATCTAGTGTCCACCTTACCCCGAGTCAAGGCTATCCAATTAGGATTGTCTCGTCTGGGGGAGATTCAAGTGCGGAGTACTTAAAAAAAAAACCATGTGTTGGCCGCTTTCTCCACAAGACAGAGCCCTTTAATTTTCACAAGGAGGTTTGAATTCATCCGTGACCCGGACATGGTCTATGCAAAAACACTTGAACAACACGGTGTTTTTACGAGCAATTCAGAAGTATTAAACAATTATTCTCCAAAATAAATGGTGAATGGGGGTGGGTATCTTCCATGGCAAAGAGGCAAGGTAATAATCCACCACATGGCACTTTGACCAACACTGAGGTAGAAAATTATTTACGTATATACCAGAAGACGGTGAATGGTACTTCCCAATCACTTACCAATGAGCGCGCCATGTGATTTATACTAAACGCTGATTTCAAGGTATTTATGATCCTTATTATCCCCTACAGGAGGAGTAGTGATGTGTTGGCCAGTTAGCCTACATGTGGATCTAACCTTTATGGTGCTCCTAAAGTAACAGTGGTTAACACAGAGTGTAAGACATCAACTTACTAGTTTAGGGTTTTTTCTGAGGTACTGGACCAATATTTGTCTTAATTCGTCATGCTTGATTTTGATTCTCATAGCAGTTTCCAGTTGATCTGACAAAGCATAGAACATGCAATTTCCTGATCCTTCATTGTCGACAATTCTGAAGCCCTTGTCTGAAGCAATTTTCTTCAACTGAGTGTTTAGGTCTGTCGTGTCGTTGACTTTGCTTGCATCGAGTTGCATCTGCCGAAGCTGAGCAATTAACTCAAAAGAACCTAAGTGAACAAACGGATAAATGAACAGAGGATAAATACCACCATGCATGTGATCAAGGAGGCCAAAACAGAAGAATTCTACGGTTATAAATACTTTTTTCTAGATTTCTACGAGTTCTTAATAAGTTTCTTTCATATAAAGAGGAACGTTATAGAAAAGGAAGTAAAAAGTAATTCTTAGCCAACTGAGGTACTTCAGGTTGGTTTTTACCTAAATTGGGGTCAAAATGATAAATATTACTTAAAATGACTAGATAACTCTCTGTAACTCATCCAGATCAGAAATTCAGAGAAACGAGATTTTATTTATACTAGCGTTTAAACACAGCCAGGTGTCCATCTCAGCACGTCTCACTTGTTCTAAACATCATTGAGAGGCAGTCTCTCTAAAAGCGATAAAGTGCATTTCGGCAACATTCCGCTTACATTTGGTTTGCGGTTCGGTTGAAGACTTACTGATCCAAGCAAAGATCGCTTGAAGTAATTACAGCCTCCTTTTCTACGAATTGGTTATAGAGAAACCCCGAGATACGCTTTGTAAACAATCGTTATCAGGAGGTGATGACTACTCTTCCGAGTTATATCGCTACTGTGAGAGAGATGCAACAATTTCAGGACTAAGTATGATGCACGATCCTTCGCAGTAGATACCGCTATTTATGCAATAGCGAAAATCAGACCTGAAAAAAAAAATCAGGCCTGTGCGGGACTCGAACCACTGACCTCTGCGATACAAGTGCAGCGCTCTACCAATTGAGCTAACAAGCCAACTGGGAGCAGGCCGTTAAGTTGATTCTTAATAAACCCGTGATGATTAATCAGATACAATGAATATATGAAGTTCATATATTTTGAACTGCAGTATTAAATACGTAGGATGCACGATCCTTCGCAGTAGATAGCGCTATTTATGCATTAGCGAAAATCAGACCTGAAAAAAATCACTGCACTAGTATCGCAGAGGTCAGTGGTTCGAATTCCGTACAGGCCTGATTTTTTTTTCAGGTCTGATTTTCGCTATTGCATAAATAGCGCTATCTACTGCGAAGGATCGGGCATCATACGTATTTAATACCGCAGTTCAAAATATATGAACCTCATATATTCATTGTATCTAATTTCAGGACTGCAATCCTCTATTGTGATACAGTAGCATGGTTGATGAATGAATATTATGTTGAAAAGGCTATGGTGAAATGCGAAACAATCGAGTTTGCGTGTGTATGTGTCCATTCTCGACTAACTGACGGCATTGTCAAATTAACGCATTTCATCCAATTTTAAAATTTAAAGAAATCGCACTGAATCATTTCTCCAAAGAATCCTTCGAAGATGGAAAAGAACTGCACTTCACCTTCCAAAAGCCAGATTTTCAGTGGATAATTTTGTTTAGCAGATAGTTAAATAACGGGTTGATCTTCACCTATTTTTAATCATATTAGATGAAGGTGGGATAAATTCAATTAGATTGTGTATACAAAACAATCAACAATTACTCAAATTAGTGTCAACAGATGTTTTGATGTTGTTTTTCAAGATTTGGTACTTCTCATCGGTCCAAGTGTTTCCTGAATTCGTGGCGCGACGTTCCGAGATTCGTCTAAAAACTTTTGAGCTTGTAAACCGCCACTTTGGTGGAATTAAGTTATCACCGATTTTCTCGAATATAAATTGATATTCAGCCAAACGAAGTAGGCAGTTGTTTGTTTCACTGTAAGGTCCACCCATCTTGAAAATATGAACCGAATCGATTTTTTGGCTGTTGCCACGATATTTCGAAAGTGTGCGATTTTTGGCCACATTTGCTCTTAATACCTTATCAAAACCACTATTTGCAGAATTTTAACAGTCGAACAAACATGTAAATTCTATGTTGCTATGTGTCTGTTCAGTGGTGATATACGGGGCGCAACGGAGTGTCTGTAATGTTCTAAGCCCATTTTTCAGTGAGCAATTTCACAAAAGACTCACGGCAACATGGAATCCATTTGCTTTTGTAATAAAAATAGAAATATTGTCAGTGGTGACTTCGTTTATGAATGTTTTCTTCTCCAGATCATAGCAAGAATCTACTAAATTAGATTCAAACTTACTATACATGTACAACAGAAA